TTAGTGTTTTCTTTCTTTCTTTCTTTCTTTCTTTCTTTCTTTCTTTTTTCTCATTTTTTTTGTGGTACCATTCCAGATCTGAAATTTCTGGGTCTTGGTTTTTTCTTCTTTTTCTCGTCTTCTTCTTCTTGTTACTGTCACTGGATCCAAGTCTCTTTACTGAACCACTTTAATTGTCGGGCATGTTTCTTAGAGAAGCATGTACTTATCTTTCAGTACGCGCCCCGGATAAGCACTGATATGGTCCCCTTGACTACAAACATACAAGGAGGCGTCATGGTCACCTTTCCGCTCACTTTCCCGTTTAAGTCCGTGACTTGAGATCTACGTTATGCGACTCCAATTACATACGAAAGTCTGCATGTGATGGGGTAAGTGGAAAAATCATATTTTATTTTTTTAGTATATTAAATAATAAAAGATAATCATTTTAAAATTTTTCTTTACTTATCTTAAAATTTAAACTTAAAATCTTTAATATGGATATTTAAACTCTTAATAATTGAAATGTCTCTTAGGAAATGAATCTTTATTTAATCGCTTAAATGTAAAATAAGCTATTTCACTTACTATTAGTTGATTTTAAGTTAGATATTGATTTTTTATTCAAACAAACATGTCAAATTTTTATAACAAATATCTGCGTTCTTTCTCAAAAAAAAAAAAAAAGAAGAAAGAAGTGAGAGATCCACAAGCTCTTGCAAATTGCCTACTTGATCTCTTCTCGACATTGCATAGGACTACCCATTCCCCCTTTTTTTTCAATTATTATTGGTTTTGGTAGCTTGGATATCTCTATTGTACCTTTTGTGTATTTAGAGACATTATCTTTTCATATGATTTAAAAGTTGTATTCATATCGATAAAAGCTTATGTTTAGCTTTTTATGTTATAAAATCTGTTATTTTTAACCTTTTACTTTACACATTAAAATTTTTAGCCTTTGAACTTAACTCCTAACTCAAATGACAGTGGGTAACTTGGTTAACCCTTGTTAACTGAAATTAAAAATTATAAGATCAGCCCCTAAAATTTAAAGGAGTGAAAGTCTAGTTTTAAAGGTTTTTAAAATAAACTAGTAAATCAAAAGTTTTTGGGATTAGATTGTCATTTTTCTAAACTTAAGGAATTGAATTGTCAGTTTTGTAAACTTTAGAAACTGATCTTATAATTTTTTTTAATTTCACTTAACAAGAGTTAACAACTTCCGTTGGTTTAAGAACAAAAATTTTCAAAATCTTAAGTTTAGAGGGTAAAATCTTCAATGTGTAAAATGAAGGGTTAAAAATGATAAATTTAATAAAAATAAGGGCCAAATGTAGTCTTTTACCTCCTATTTCCACCTATTAAATTACATTTCTTATGAATTAATTTCAGAACTTGAATTTTAAATCTCACCAACAAAACAAGAATTATATTACAGCTAATCCAAGCTTTAAGGCTGATCACCCATTCACCTCTAGTACCAAGTTAGTGCAGCATTTTGTGACCCTAGGTATCAGTGATGGTTCAATTTCTTGGAGTTCACTTCAGGTACTCATCCTTTTGTCCTCACTTTTCCACCTTTTGGGAAGCGTGAAGGCTATCTCATAATATGTCTCCATCATACTCTGATCACCAGACCTTCGAACCCGTGATCCATTACTCGAGTGTTTTGAGGTAAACACTCAGTCATTAGGACTACGGAGAGGCTGGTTCTCCAATATGCTCGTTCAAATGTAGTAAAAATATTTGCATCTAATCATTAGTAATAGTATACATTTATAATTCACCACAAATCAGTACATTTTACAATTTAACAGCTTCTACGAACTCCAATCCTAACGACCCTCACACTACATATATATTTTCTTTAAATGCCACCAAAATGTGTAAGTGACAACAAGATTAATTAGAAAACAATACACTATGACCCCATACATTTCTAAAATTAATTAACCGCACCTTTTCCCTCATTTGGTTTTAAAGCTAACCATGGATGGAAGCATATCTGTTGATCAAAGCCAAGGCATTGCTAGTGAGATGAGCAATATTCATGATCTTAAGTCTCAGGGTGGTTTTCACCTTTCCATTCATGGCTTTCCCACCAAACCCATCGCTGCAGGTGCTCTCGTCGGTGAGAGCAGCACTCACCCACGTCTGAATATCGCTCATCAACATCCCAAAATCCGACCCTTTGTTATTAATCTGACCCATCTCGCCGATCGACTTCCGTAGCTCGTCCACCGTGTCGCTCAGCTCCTCCAGGCAGTCTTGCATCGCCTCCACCTCTTTGGGCTTCATCCCCTGGCTTTTGGACAGGTTTACCATCATGACAGAGGTGGCTTTCGCAGTCGCAAGGGTCACATTGAGGGCGGTATGGGCTATCAGTTTAGGGCTTGTTTGGATTAGGTTTGCATGAGTTGAGAGGGAGCTGATACAGAGCTTTGGGTAGGTTGTGGAGCTGCAGGATGTTTTGATGAACTCGGTGCTGGGGTGTGGCGAGATAGGCCTGGCAGCGGAGCTAAGGTTTAGGAAGAAGGTGAGGGAAATTAAAGTGACTAGGAGCTTAGGGAAGTGACTGTAAAATGAGGCTCCCATTTTTTTTTCCTTCTGATGCTTAGATTGCTGAATTGCTTTAGGGGATGATGAAATTAGAAGAAGGGAAGTCCAACTTTATAGGAGGAGAGAAAGGTTAATCAACGTTTTAGTGATGGCATAATTGGTGGGGTAAAATAAGCCATTTTGGGCGCACTGGAAGCACGTCTGGGGCCCAGAAAGATGCCTTCTGCGGAGAAAAAAGTAAGAGGGAAAAAATGGAAATAATATCTCCCTACGGCTCATGACGCAACTGAAAAAGGTGGGTCTTTTTACGTTAAGAATATAGACAATAATGATTGATATATTTTTTTATTTAATATATTTAATATTATTTATTGATTTAATTATTAAAAAATTAATATATTTAAATCTGAACTCAGTATGAGAAATTTTTAAAAATAAATTTTAATAATTGAACTAGTAAATATTATTAAGTATCTTGAATCGAAGGGTGTACTAATTACTTTTCAAAATATTAAAAGTTATTCTCTCTCATCTCAAGATTTTTATTTTTCATTTTAATTTGTAAAATAAGATACTTATCTCTGTCACTTCCAATTTAATTTTGAAAAAAAAGCAAAAACTAAAATGTTTTAACACTTAATAATTATTATTAAATATTTTAATATTTTTAATAATAAAATCTCTTGATATTTATTGTATTTAATTTTATGATTTAACCTTTTTTTTCCTCAAAAGTTTTTTTCTCTTAGTGTTTAAATTATGTTAAATTATATTAAAAAACCATTAAATAAGTGGAAAAATCTCAATATAAAGGGGTTGGTTCTCATATAATAGTTAAAGTTATATGATAGGGTTTTTTGATATGTACCTTAATATGTGCCTTAAGAGGTGTAATTTATGTTTTTTTTAATAATTAATTTGCATGAAAAAGGTAAGTGTTGATTTTAAATTAATCAATTAAAATCATTTATGTGTTAATATGTTAAAATAAATATCAATTTTTATAATTGTTTATGTAAATTAATTAAAATAAATATATTTATATTATAATTTTAATCTAAGCTTTCAAAGCACAAATTAGATAAATCATATCTAATATTGTTAAATTCTTTTTTTATTTTATTGAGGAGATTTGTCATTTAATATTGCTCAATTTAATTGTTAAGAAAATATTGTAGATGAATTAGTTTCGATAAAAACAAAGATGGAATAATAATGCAGCCTTTGAAAAGCTCTTTCACAATTATGTCATGAGCATGATCGTTGTTTAACTAAATCACTTGCTAACTTCTGTTGTCGGCCTGCTTCGCAATTATTTGTCATGTGATGCTTTTTTGTTTTTTTGTTTTTTTGTTTTTTTTATGAGAAGTAATAACTACAAAGAATTTAAAATCCTTTAAGATTTCAAGAATTTGGTCTTATTTTTCGTTGGATATATACATTTCAGCTACATATATTGGATGCAAAGATTTGAACTTTAACCTTGAATCCAGAGTTTTTTTTTTTTTTCTTACCATGGAAGAATTTGGGGAATGAGGTAATTTTTTACAAGTGAATTCACATTTAATTTTTTTTCAAATATTTCTCAACTTTTTGGGATTAAAATATGACAATATCTTTTAACTGTACAGAATTTTCTCAACCAATTAAATGTGCCTCGCCTTTATCTCAAAATAGTTCGTAGCCCCTATTTCTTGTCAAGTGGGCTTCCTTCCAAAGCCGAGTTGCTTTAGCATCTTCAATGCATGTGGGAGCCGGGCGGGGTTTTGAAGGAGAAGATGGTCTAGATTCATCCAGTCCGAGCATGGATCTTTCAGCCACCAAGACCAAGTGGGTGCACCCATTTGGCCAATTGGATGGGTGTGAACCCCGCACTTACAAAAACTAGACCAAGGCAGTGGCATTGGACTATTCAACAATAATCCTGATAGTTTGGATAGCACTGGCTTTAAGTGACTATACCATTCATCATCCGTGTTTAAGAATGTAAAGCTTCTAAATTGGTTGTTCAACTCCTGCCATTAACTTGTAACTATATATTCCCCTCTGTTCATAATTGTCCGTGTTAAAAAATATCTTGGTTTTCTCTTGTCCAAAACACTATTGGTTGAGCTTTCTTTTTCAGGGGTCATGATCACTGCGCTGAATGGGATTGATGCAATATTAGGATATGATCAAACTGTGTCAGCGATTTGCCAGCAGTGTGAACCCATTGAGGTTGACTCAAGTAGCAAAAATGAAAATGAAAAATCTTTAAGAATGTTGATTCGAGTCTTTGTTTTTCTTTCCCTTTTTTTTTTCTTTTTTTTTTTTTCAGTATTAACAATGAAGGTGTGCAATGTGGACCTTAAAATTAATTTATTTTTAAACAATTTTAAGAGCTGTGGAGTTACATTTAAAGAAATTAATTTTCTTGAATTATGACTAAAAAACTTTAAACTCTAAGCTTGGTATATAAGAGGTCACTTATTTACCACCAATGAATCCAACTCTTGGGATTAGTTCAAGTCTTTTTATATTGTCATTTGGATGCAAATAATTTTAATGAATGACATTGGTCACTTTTAAAAATAGAATTTTACACAGCATATTTATACAAAATTTTAATAATTCATCTATTTACTTTTAATAAGTGAGATATATTTATTTTTTATTATATTTATTAAAAATAATTATTTTTTTATTTAAAAAATCATAATAAACCATAACTATTAAAAGTAAAAAGATCAATAATCAAAATTTTATATAAATATAATTTATAAAATTTATATGTAAATGCATCCTATTCAATTGAAAAGCCTACTTATGCATGTTATTCAAAAAATTTGCGAGCAGTGTCATATACAGTGAATAATATTTTTGTCATGTGGGCAGAATGTTATTGGTCGGTAACTTTCCTTTTCAGTTGTTTTCCTGCTTTCTAACAGTATCTCTATCGTCCAGTTGTTTGTTTAATACAGCTCGAGTTTTATAGATTGATGAATGGTTGTCGGACGAATCAGGAGAGTGTGGATTGGCTTAAGAAGATCAAAAGTGATGATTTTCTTGACGACGTACGTTTGTTGATACTAAAATCTTTCTACATAATCTCACGTAGAACATTTAAACTCTTATTACATGTACTTTTTTTTTTTTTAATGGCAAAAGTATATATTATTTATTATTAAGTACAAGAAGCACTCCAATCTTTTTACAATAATTTATCCAGAATCAATAGTTAACCATTCAATTTCCTTCAATTACAGTCAACATTCTCTAGCTAATTTCTCACCCACAGTTATATCTTAAGCATGTCTTAGGATTTAGAAACCAATCGGATAGAGAGAAATGGCATTTGGTTTGCTTTCCTTTTAACCACAGAAACGATCTAAGTTGAAGAAGTTCTAACAATCTTTGCTGATTTACCTCTATCCCTCTAAACAATCTTCCCTTATTAATGTAGAACCTTAAACACTATAAGAAAATGGGTTTTTTGTGATTGAAAATAGTGACTGATTATATATCAGTTGATCACTAGTATTTTTTATATTTGTGACTAGTTTAAGATAATAATTATTAAGATTAAATTTTAATATTATAATATATAATTTGGACACAGAAATTTGTGACTAGTTTGAGAGCATCATTCAATATCTGTATCTAAATCCGTTCAAACCCAGAGGTCCCTGTTGTTAGAACAATTTGTTGTTGTGCCGGTAGAATTTTGTCACTATCCAAGTTTTAATGAAAAGAAACATGTAATTAGTTACATTCTTCTATACTCAAAAAGCTTACGTTATACTTTAAAGAAGTTAATGAGAAGTTTTTTTTATTAACAGGAGCCTAATGATAAGATTATCAGAGAAAAATTAATACTAGCGCAGATGGCAGCGGTTTTGATCAAATTAAAGAAAAAATCAGTTTCAAATTATACACAAAAAAACCTCAAAAGCACTCTAATCATTAAAAGACAAAAGTCACATTCCATAATGTTAATTCTGCCCCACATCCTACCATATGGAGTACATTAATATCTTAGGTCAAGCACTATACTTCTTACTACTAATTTCATCCATTTATTGGGTATTTACTCTCTTACCACCAAAAGAATCAAGGACTAACTAGATGAACATGTATAGTAGTTTTTTTTATTTTTTATCTTGGTTGTGTAATGGAAGACAATTATTTTTCATCTCTTATCCCATCCTTCTTACATGTCTTATAATTTGAATTTAGGACCTCTTATTTCCAACGAAGGAAAATAACCGTTGAACTATTTAGATCGTTAGCAAAATGCATAGTCGCTAGTTTGATTATCCCAAAAAAGATTAATTATTAGTTTTAACAAAACCTTAATTACTAGGTTAATGTAAAAAGTACATCCTTGAGATCCTTGAAACAAAAAATAATTTTAAAGTATTCAAAAATTGATTTAGAAACATTTTAATCATAAATACCAAAAAAACAAAACGAAATTTTTTTTTAAAAAAAAAAAAAACCCTTGATCACTAATATCGATTTTTCACAACGTACCTTCCATACGAGGTACCCACCGGAGGCACCTGTGTCACATGGGTCGACATTTTGTGTCTTCTTATTTGCTTGCTAGATCCTCAAGCATGTGATATATATTCCTCCTAGTCCTAGCCTACATCTCTATTTTTCCTTTTTCATTCATGATACCATTGATTTGCGCCCCATTAAATTCCATCGTCAAACGTCTACATAAAACCAAGGCAATGCCACAAATAGAATATCATGTCCTGTATACTGTATATTAAATAATATAATGTTACATTAAACAAATAAATCTATATAAATTATAAAATAACACATCATAATATTATATATAAATATTGCACTTATTAAAACATTATATGCCTAATATTTTCTTAAAAACAAATGCATTTTTCATATGCTTTCTTTGGGTTTATAATTTAGATTGAAATAAAAAGTATAACAAGTAATTTTAAATGTTGAATAGAGATAGCACACAAAATGCAAGTACTTGCTTAATTTTATTAATTATTGTCGCATAAATGAATTTGATAAATCCATAGAGAAGGTCGAAAACTTACTAAGTGGCATGTTTTCATCAAAATTAACGAAATGAGGGAGCGTCTACTGCTCATTAATTATCTTGTCTGCTAGGGTCATTGGGTTAATTTGGGTGCACATGCTTTCTACCGAAGGCCAAATAATTGAAAAATACTTGCTGTTTTGTGAATGTTTATGGACCATGTAATGTGGCTGGTCGTGCAAAGTTGTGGGAGGATCTATCAACTCTTATTGGAACCTTGAATTGCTTTTTCTGTCTTGGTGGCGACTTCAACTGTGTCAGAGGAATGCATGAAAGAAAAGGTAAAATGATCTCCCATCCTGGTTCTGATGATTTTAACCTATTTATTGAATCAAACTGTCTCGTAGACTTGCCTCTATCAAACAGAAAATTTTCATGGTACAAGTGTGATGGGTCAGCTCATAGCAGATTGGATAGATTTCTCTTATCAAAAAATTATCTAAAATGTTGGGGCAATTGTGTTCAATTAGCATTAAAAAGAAGTATCAGTGATCATTGCCCTATTAGCCTTGTCTCTGACATCCATAATTGGGGGTCAAAACCTTTTAGGTTTATAAATAGCTGGTCTTTGCATCCTGAATTTAATCATTTGATTGAGAAATTATGGAGCTCTTTTGAAGTTGAAGGGTATTGGGGTTTTAAATGTAAAGAAAAGCTTAGAAGGCTCAAGCAACACCTAAAGAAATGGAATAAGGAGGTGTTCGGTAACATCGACAGTCAACTTGAACAGGCAATGAAGAAAGTTGACTTTGTTGATATAAAATGTGAGGACTAGGATCTTTTAGAAAAATATGTACTCAAAAGAAAGGATGGCTTCGAAGAACTATGGCTTTGCTTGAAAAAGAAAGAAAGCTTGTGGAGAAAAAAGTCTAGGGTTACTTGGATCAAAGAAGGGGATGCAAACACTGCCTATTTCCATAAATTTGTAAACAGCAGGAGAAAAAAGAATATGCTTCATGGGGTTAACAATCAAAGCTCTTGGATTGATGATCCTATCCAGGTGAAACAGATTGTTTACGATCACTTTAAAAGCCAATATTCATCACAGTCTACCCAACAAGTACAACCATCTTTTGACCATTTGCAGTTTTGTCGATTATCAGAAGAGGATAGAATATTGCTGGAAGTTGAGTTTACGGATGATGAAATTAGAGAAGCAGTCTCCTCATGTGCAAGTGACAAAGCCCCAGGACCCGATGGATTTAACTTTCACTTCATCAAGTTGGCATGGGGTACAATAAGGGCTGATATAATCAACTTCATCAAAGAATTCCACCAAAATGCAAGACTGGTCAAGGGAATTAATTCCTTATATATCACACTTGTGCCTAAGAAGAAAAACCCCACTTCCTTGAAGGAGTTCAAGCCAATATGTACCATTGGGTCTATTTACAAAATCTTGGCTAAGGTGCTTGCTAACAGACTTAAGAAGGTAATTGCTAAGATTATTAGTGCTAGTCAATCTGCTTTTATTAAGGGTAGACAACTTGTTGATTGCTCTTTTGCTCTTAATGAGATTATACATGACTTGAAAATTAAAAGGAGGAAGGGCATTATATTCAAGGCTGATTTTGAAAAAGCATTTGATTCTGTGGGTTGGGGATATCTTGATAAAATGCTTTCCTTTTTGGGTTTTGGTGAGAAATGGCGAAGCTGGATTAACGAGTGCTTAAGGTCTGCTTCCATCTCAATTCTTGTCAACGGTAGCCCAACCGAGGAATTCAATATGCAGAGAGGTTTGAGACAGGGAAACCCCCTTTCTCCCTATTTATTCCTTATTGTGGCTGAAGGTTTTCATGCTCTTCTCCTTGAAGCAGAAAAAAAAGATGTCTTTAAGGGAGTGGTGATTGATGATAAAACTTCTATTTCTCACCTCCAGTTTGCTGATGACACTGCTCTAATTTGTGAGGCCTCTATCAATTCCATCTTGGCCATCAAGTATGCCCTGAGATGGTTTGAAATTATGTCGAGCCTCAGAATAAATTTTAATAAAAGTGTACTAATCGGGATCAATGTGGATGAGACTTGAATCAGCATGGCTGCCTCTGCCTTAAACTGCAAAGCTGGGAAAACTCCCTTCATTTACCTGGGGCTCCCTGTTGGAGGAAATCCTCACCGTCATTCTTTTTGGAAGCTAACGATTGAAAAGTTCCGATCAAAATTGGCATCTTGGAAAGGAAAGCTTCTTTCAATCGGTGGTCGCATCACTCTTCTCATGTTGGTACTTTCTGCTCTACCTCTATTCTACTTCTCTATCTTTAAAGTTCCAAAAGGCATCTTAAAAGAGCTCATTAGAATACAAAAGAACTTCTTATGGGGGAACTCAGATGAGTCTAAGAAGATTGCATGGGTAAACTGGGAAAGGGTATGTCTAGCAAAAAATAAGGGTGGCCTTGGCATCCCAAACCTTGCTATTAAAAATATTGCCCTTTTTAGGAAAGTGGTGGGATAAGTTTTATGATGATGCTGAAAATGAGAAATTGTGGAAGAAGATAACTATTAGCAAGTACTATAATGGCACTTCAACTGTTTCAATCTCCAACACTACATCTTCAAAAATATCTGCAATTTGGAAGGATATTTTATCTATTAGCAGGGATTGTGAAAGAAATACCAAGTGCTTCTCTGAAGGTTTCTCTCGTCAGCTTGGTGATGGATACGGAACCAGATTTTGAAAAGATGCCTAGGTGTAAACTTCTCCACTAATGCTTGTTTTCCCTCGACTATTCAAGCTCACTCTTAGCGAGAACTTATTGGTGGCTGACCTAAAACCAACCAAGGGTGAGGGATGGATTCTCCAATGGCGCAGACCCCCTTTTGGAAGAGAACTAGATGAGCTTCAAATCTTGGAAGATATCCTGCAAAATGTCAGCATCTCTATAGGAAAATCAGATCAAATTATATGGAAGCACTGCCCTGCTGGTTATACTACAAAAATGGCATATCTTTTTCTTGACATGTCTCCCCCTTGTCTGGATATATTCTACTGCAAGTTAATATGGAGTCATCTTATACCCACAAAAGTCAGTGTCTTCTCTTGGCGTCTTCTATTAAATCGCCTTCCCACAAAGGACAATCTCATCCAACGTGGTATTGACTTAGCATCTAGATCTGGTTGTGTGCTATGTAATGGTTATTTAGAGGATGCAAATCATATTTTTGCCACATGCATTTACTCCCAAAGCATTTGGAGCCGCATATGTTGTTGGTGGGGTTTTTCTCTTGTTTTTCCTGACAAGGCCCTCGATCTGCTTACTCAACTTTGCTCATTGCCAGTCCCTCAAGATGTTAAAGATTGTTGGGTCCTCTCCATATTTACTACTGCTTGGGCCATCTGGTATTTTAGAAACGGAATTGCTTTCAATAAAGTTGAATGGGATGAGGACAATTTAATCGAGCTAGTAAAGACCAAAACATTTGCTTGGATAAAAGGTAAATTGAAACTTGCTGCTTTTTGTTTTACTGACTGGTGTCAACGTCCAAAATTATGTACTACTCATTTTTAATATGACACAGCACTTATCCTAATGTAATGGGCGAGTACCCCTTGTACTCATAATTTATAATACATTTTTATTCATAAAAAAAAATGATTGAAAAATAATATATTTTATGATATTTTTAAATAATTTTAT